GCTGGGGATCTGAACTCAGGTCCACATGCTAATATGGCAAGCACATTATTGATTTAGCCATCTCCTAAACCCCCCAAATGTGGTGTTGATGGGCAAAAAGACATACAGTCCACAGAGCAGGATAGAAAAATCCCAAAATAAATCCATATATAAATATGTCCAACTAATTTGTGATAAAAGAGTTAAGGCAGTTCAATGGAGGCAGAGTACTAATGCTAGCGGAGACAGTAATACCAGATCCTACGGGAGCAACTGGATATTCCCAAGCAGAAGATGAACCTTGACCTAGACCCCACACTTTTCACAAAATCAAACCCCAAACGAACCATGGACCTAAACATAAACATATCGTTTTTTAGGAAATCATAGATAAAAGCCTTTGACACTCAACACCAACAAATGTTCTTGGACTTGAAACTTAAAGTGTGATAGCTAGTCTTGATTGTCAGATACACCAGAGAAGAGGGAAACTCAACTGAGGAATTGCCTCCAGCAGACGGGCCTGAGGGCATGAATGTAGGACATTTTCTTAATTGCTAATTGGTGTAGGAGGCCTAGTCCACTATGGGCAGTACCATCCCTAGGCTGTACAAGAAAGCTAGCAGAGCAAGCCAGTAAGTGCTGTTCCTCCATGGTTTCTGCTTCCAGCTCCTGCCTTGAGCTCCTGCCCTGGCTCCTCTCCAAGATGGACAGTAACCTGTAAGGTGAAATAAACCCTTTCCTCCCCAGGTTGCTTTTGGTCATGGTGTTTGACCATGGTGCTTTCACAGCAACAGGAAAGCAAACTAGAACACAAAGCATAATTTATAAAAAGGAAAATATGACAAAGTGGACCCCATTGAAGTTAAATCTATTTGCTCTGTGAGAGAGTCTGGTAAGGAGATGAAAAGACAAATTACAGAGCAGGAGAAAACATTTGAAAAATCACAATATCCAAGACAGCATTTTTTATCTAGTACATAAAAAAAAAAACAGACAGTGGCTTTATTCATAATAAGCAACATTTGAAAATACAAATGTCTTTGATGGAGTGAACTGCTGGGTGACTACATTCGGTGCCCACCACCACAGAAGACCACTCAGGAATAAAAAGCAGCCAACTGTAGCGCACGGGCAAACTGGGGTGACTCTCAAGGAAATTATGCTGAATGCGGAAAGCCGGTCTCAAACTGTACACACTTCACAATCCCATTACATAATATTTGTGTAACAACATAATTACAGAGATGGAGAACAGATGAGTAGTTGCTGGGGATTAGTGCTGAGGAGGGAGAGGGAGGGCAGAGCCATGAGGGTACCATGTGGGAGTCCTGTGGTGGTGGCTTTGTTAGGAATCTTGACTGTGGTGATGCTGAAACCAAGCTCCTTGCAGTGAGATAACACAGCATTCTGGAAACAATGCCGTCCCTGGCAAAGCTGGGCTGGTGGTCATCTGAGCAGGAGCCATCGAGTGGCTCTGGGGAGCTTGGGCTTGGCCTGATGGGAAGTCCAGGTGTTCTGGTTGCAGATATCCACCCACTCTTCCTGCCTACTATGTGGACTCCAGCTACTGGACTAGACTACGTTTCCCAGCCACCCTTGCAGGGAAGCGGAGTTCCTGTCAACAGGACATAAATGAACAGCTCTGTCCTCTCCACAAGCCTTTGCCTTCTCAGGAAGCTTGAAACCATATAGAGTAGTGCCCCTTTTCCAAGACACATACCCCCAAGATGCCTAGTGCATGTCTGAAACAAAGCATAACACACACACACACACACACACACACACACACACACACACACACACACACACACACATATATATATATATATATATATATATATATATAGCTTTTCCTATACATCCAACCTATGATAAAGTTCAACTTATAAGTCAGACATGGTACAAGATTAACAACACAAGCAAATAAAAGGAGGGGAAAAGTGTAACAATATAGTGTAATAAAAGTCAAATGAATACAATATACTCCCCAAGATAGTTTATTTTATGTTTGTCTTTCTACTTAAAGGAAGCATTTCTGGTTTCTCTGGCAGATGTGAATCACTTGTGTCACTACTTGGGACCATTAATAAATGACATAACTGTGACTTGAACACAAGCACTGCCTAGTCAACTAAGTGATTAACAGGAAGGTGATATATACAGAGCAGATACACTAGAAAATGGCATGATTCAAATCCAGGACCAGATTAAACAAGAGGAATGCATTACTCCAAACAGGCCACAATTTCACACTTATGAATACTTGTTTCTATAATTTTCCATTTTATATTTGCAGACTTCTGTCAACTGATATCACTTGAAACTGTGGCTGAGGAAGGGCTGCTGTGTGGAAGAGAGAGGAAGCCTGAGCCTTCTGAGAGGATTTCTTCTGGATCAAATGCTATAAGCCACTATTCTTGACAGTGCCCAGTAGTCCCTGAGTAATAGTCTCAGGCCCACAGCTCCTAGAAAGACCACCAGCATCCCCAGCCTTAATGCCCTCCCTGGGTAGCTGTACTGGGGGAAGGTCTGAATGGCAGGCTGAGATGCCAAGACAGCCCCCTAGAGATAGCACCAAACCCTCTGAGCATCTATGGGAGGAAAAGGATCCTGAGTTTGAGACTTAAATCCTCAAACTCAGATTCTGGAGAGCCCAAAGGGTTCACTGGGCTCACAAGATTAGGAAATTCTTGGGCTCTTAGTTACTTTTCTGTTGCTGTGATAAAACACCATGACCAAGGCAATTTATAGAAGGAAGGGTTTATTTGGGCTTATGGTTCCAGAATTTTAGGGTCCATAAGGGTAGAAATGGCATGACAGTCCTGTGGATGCTGCTGGAAGCAGAGAGCTGAGGGCTCACATCACAGGTTGCAAACAGGAGGCAGAGAGAGGGGACTGGGAGTGGTGTGTGGCATTTAAATCCCAAGGCAAGCCCCCAGTGACATGCTTCCTCCAACAAGGTTGCACCTCTGAACCTACTCAAACAGCACCACCAATTGGAACCAAGTGCTCAAACATCTGAGCCTGTGGGAGAAATTTTCGTTCAGACCACCACAAGGTCCCACAATGAATCTTGGGATTTATGGATGCTCAACCATTCATTTATTCCTCTCCATCATTTGTACTTTTATTCATTTCAAAAGTATCGAGTAATCATTTTATGCACTGGGCACATGGTGAATACACAGATGGTTGCTACCCTATGTAACTCAAGCAAGCTGCAGACAAAAGCAGGCCAGTGGTTCCTGGGACTATGAAGAGCAGAGGAGAATGAGGTGGAGTGAGTGCCCTGTACTTCTGCAGTGATGGGAGAGGGCTTCTGAGGAGGCTATGCTGGAGACAAGTTCTGAAGGGACCAGGGGAAGAATTTTCCAGGCAGAGACACAACAAAAGCCCTGTAAAGGACCTATACCTAAAGAGTGGGAGCCAAGAGGAGACATGGGTAGCTGGGGCAAAGGAAGAGACAGAAATGTCTGTGCTTGCCAGTGTGTTAAGACATCTATAATGGAGAATTATGGATGCCCAGAAGAGGTACTGGACTAAGAATCAGGGACAACTTCCTGGAAAGGTGTCAAACCATGACTGGGTCCTGAAAGAGTCAGTGGAGAAGAGGAGTGGGATTCAGCCACCACTCCATGAAGAAGCCAGGGCAAGAAATGCTCAGGATGTAAGGGGACGCTAGATGTGGTATTACACACCTGTAATGATAGCACTTGGGAAGTGGAAGGAAGATGGTCAGGAGTTCAAGGTCATCCTTAGCTACACCGTGAGTTCTGGGCTAGCCTGGGATACGTAATGCACTGTCTCACAAAAACAAAACAAAACACAGGTATAAGAGGTTTGAGAAACTTGAAAAATATGGTGAGAAGTTGGAGACTTGGGATGAAAGGGAGAAATCAGATTCATCAGAACCAGAGAGCCCTGGCAGAGAGCCACAGTGTTTACCTGCAGTTGGCCAGGGGCAGGCCTGTGCATGTAGGCTGGGGGCGGGGTGGGAGGGTGGGGGGGGGGGGGGGGGTGGGGGGTAGGGGTTAGACAGCCAGTCTTGGGACCTCTTTCTATCAAGTCATACTTGTAGCAAACAGGAAAGCTGATTGTCCTTTGGGCCTCCAAGGCTCTCTCCACTCCCTCTGTGATGAGACTGTATGCTGAGAAGTGGCTGAAAGGCTACCGACCTACTGTGTAGCTTTGGGCAAATCATTTGGTCTCTCCGACCATCTCTTCCCCTTTGGAATGTGCAGTTAGTCAAAATAGGAAGTTAGTTGTTCTGAAGCTTTTAACTTACATGAAGTGTTTAGCAGAAGGCCAAGCTCATGGGTCTCAGACATCTCTGTGGCAACTTCACTGTGGTTGGACTTGGTTCACAGGGTCACAGGAGGCAGGAGAGTACTGTTTTATGGAGGAGTAATTTGGCACTCAAACTGTTAAAACTAACCCAATCCCGGAGATAAGAAACACTCCGGGTCCCAGGCCCCTTCTGAAGCAAATTTATGAGATTCTGGACACTGGGTCAAAGCAGAGGGGCTCCCCGAGGCTGCAGCAGGAACCACTCAGGGTCCAGACCAGAAAGTGTTTGGGACATCTGGAAAGAAAAGAGAGTGAAGCAGCCTGGTTCACACCCCCAGCCCTGAGAGCCAAGAGATAGAGAGGGCTGGGCACCAGAGAGCCAGGTGTGAACCCCTGTGCCAGAGAGGGGCCTAGCTCTCGGCAACAGTGGAGTGTTGGAGGCGAAGCAGTCAGGGGACAAACGGTTGGAACAGAAAAACAGCTCAGGAGGGTCCTGGGGGCACCGGGCGGGGGAGATCAGAAGTGGCAGAGGGAGGGTGCTGCTGAAGGGTCTGAACGAGTGGGTGTGCGGTATTGCGTGGGCGTGGGTGTACCTGCAGTCGGCCTGTGCACGTGCGCGGGGAGCGGGGTTGCGTGGGGCGGGCAGGACCGCCAGCACCCTCACGGGCCCCCCGAGGGTTAAGCGCCGCCCAGCCGCCGGCTCCTCCCCGCCCCAGCCGCGCGGTCACGCTGAAGCCCTCACTCGACCCACCGCGCCCTGGGCGCACGGCGGGGTCCCCGGTGACCGCAGCGACCAGCAATCCGCGGATGCGCAACGCGTGCCACAAGCTGTCCCCGCACAGCGGCTGCCGGGCCGTCGGGGCGCTCGGGCCCCGGGAGCACCAGGCTGCCCAGATGCGGGCGCCACTCTGCCTGCTACTGCTCGTCGCCCACGCGGTGGACATGCTCGCCCTGCACCGGAGGAAGAAGCAAGGTACAGATGTGGCCGGACTGCGTTGGGGTAGGCGCTATGAGGCAGGCTGGTGGTAGCCTGGTGGGGATCTGTCTGGTGCTAGACGCCTGAGCTATTAACTAACTCAGGGTCAGCACAGGGAGCTGTCGAACAATCTGGACCCAAGGAGCACTGCACGGAGGGAAGGGGCTAGTGATCGAGCTCACTGGCCCCAGCCTCCCAGCAGTGTCCCAAGGGTAACTAACTCCACAGACACCAAAAACCTAAGGAACCATCCTTGGGACCAAGGCACTAGAAGACAGAGCTAATGGCTTAGAAGCCACCCAGCCCAAGCATCCTCCCTGGGCCAGAGGGTTATATCAAGAGCAGTGGCTCCAGGCCCTACATGGGGGCTTTCTCGCTGCCCCTGACTCCTGCTGTCACCCCCGCCCCCCCCCCACCACCCCAGAAGTGATCTGGGTGAGCCTCTCTGGTGATCTCTTCTGGATGACTTGGAAGAAGTTTGTCCTCTCTTGGAGCCTTGGGATTTTTTTCCTTTGGGACCTCCTGGAGCAACTAGGAAACATGAACCTGAGACTAACTGGGCCCTGAAAACATTGTCTTTGGGGTCCTGTGCCACAGTTCCTCAGTGCCACAGTCAGATGTCTTTAGGAGGTGAGTTTGGGACTGCCCCTGCAGAGATGGAGTTATGTAGACCCCGTGCTGGCCGGGAGAGCAAGAGGACTAGCAAGCCCTATGCCTGACCGGGGCAGGTCCTAGTACCCTGGAAGCCTGTCTGTGAATCAACAGCCAAAGGCTGACCACAGTGCCTAGAGGCTGCCACGCACTGTCTCCGCACGTCCCTATGATGCCCTAATGACAGAGTGGGCTGGCTCACTCTGTAGAGCAGGAACCCAAAGGTCATGCAGGTTGATTTGCTGAGTGGTCCCATAGGCAGGTGGAAGCTCTGATCTGTTCTCTCTGGCTGAGAGCCTGGGTCCAAGAACACTGAATGGGAGTGAATGAGAGTGACTTTGCCCTTAGGGCTTCTAGTCCCTATAAGGGAGCAGGGTGCACAGAGGGGCTGTGGGAGAGCGGGTATGAGGTAGGATGGCAGGCCATGGCCTAGGGGTCCAACCTCTAAGGAAGCTGGACAAAGGGACAGAGAGAATAGAGAAGCAGGTGGACCTTGGGTGGGCAGCAGGGACTTGGGGATCCTGAAGGTGTCCCTTTGTGAGTGGCCTTCACTGAGCCCAGATGCTGGAGTCAGTCTGTCTGGATGCACATCCCTCCTTTGAAGGCTCCAGCTAAGTGACTTCGGGGAGGTTTACCTGTGTGAGATCCTTCACATTGGTCCTCCAAGATGCTTCTCCATTCTGAAACGATGCTTCAAATCCTTTCCTTTCACTGACTTGTCTTTAAAATGGGAGCAATATACTTCAGTCTCCTTCATCAGGAGGACCATAACTATGAGGAAGTGAGCTAGAGGGCTCGCTGCCTACGAGAGCACCCCACGGTGCTTGTCACCATTAGTCACCCCAGTTTCTTGTCCGTTGCGTGGTTAGCTACTTACAGTGAATGCAGGGAGAGGAAACAAGTTCAGAGAGGGAAATTGACTTGTCTAAGGCTGTACAGCAGATGCTTAGCATCTCAGATCTAAGCTGATAGGGTGTTGTGAGGTCCTGTGAGCTGGGTTGGTCTTCCTTTCTCGGAACCTCAGTTTGCCTCCCTGGAAGGGGAGTGGAGCTGGACTTTTAAGATGATTCTCACTGATGAAAGGAAGAGGATGGGGAGGGGCATGAAAATAATTTGTTTTTTCCCCTTAGCCCAGCTCACTAGCACCTCCTCAGGAACTTGGGAGCAGAGTGATGCTCCTTGCATTGGTCCAGCTGGATGAAGATGCTGCTTTTGAGCCTCGGGTGCGCACACCTGCCAGGCATCTTTAGTGAGGTTGTGACTTCATTCATGTGATGCAAAGCCTTGGGCTTCAGTCCCTCTCCTGACCCATTCATGCCATGTGACCTTGGATGAGAGGGTTTCTCCTCTGCTTCGGCCCATGGCCTCAGTTTCTCCATTGGCACAGAGGTGGAGGCTACACAACCTAGAGCCTGCTCTGCAAGGCAGTCACAGTTATCGTGACCAAGCAATTTTGGGAAAGGTGAGGTCTGGCAGAGTTCTTGGCTGTGCAGTTTATCAGAGCCCAGGAAGAGGTGGTGCAGAGGGGCTGACCTTTCTCAAACCTAGACATACGCCTGAGGACCATTTCTCAGACGTGTCTTGGAAGGTTGTGTATATGGTCCCCAGGGTCTCATCGACTTTGGCCCTCTGATCTGACTTTGGGGAGAGAATGTGTTCCTTAGATGCTTGGATATTGGTTGTGTCTTGCTTGCTGATCACTCACACATTCATCCATCTGTTCACGTAGTATTGCAGAGCAGCCTCCCCGCCAGCTTGTGTCAAACGCCTGGAGGGTGCTAAGCTAAGACATCCAAGCCAGCAGAAGGCTCACCCTTCCCTGCTTTCCTGAGTTGCCTCCTCTTCCACACCCTGCCCTTGACCTCAGTCTTTGGCCCAGTATCCAGCCATGGGGAAGGACCTGTTTGCCCCGGCCTGGTCTGCACTGCCTCCCTTGGGGTCCGCTTCTCATGGACCTGGGCTCCTCTGGCTCCAGCGTCATCACTGGTTTTTTATGAAACCTAATTTTTCTGTTTCTGCAAAACAGAATGAAAGCAAAGGCTTGAAAGGGGTTCTTGAACCTCAAGTGTCTCTTACAAAACACTTTGATTAATTAAGTATAAATGAATTAGAACCAGATGGGGACATTTCTCTTGAAATGAACTGGTGTGCCTGGCAGTGGGGCAGTGGGACAAAATGAGGGGACTCTACGTTGTGTCCCCTGTTCACAGATCTAGAGCTTCCTATAGGGATGAGGTGAGGCTGAGGTCCAAATCCTCCAGTCTCTCCTACCCTGGACATGAGAACTTGGGCAGGCCACACACTTTCTCTGATACATCTGTGAAGTGGGAGCCACTGAAGCTACCTCCTTGGGCATCAGGAAAAATTTACCACCATCCTGGAGGGAAAGTACACAAAGGCCTCTTAGGGCAGAGAGGGCTGGGCAGAGGATACCTCCTGAGCATTGACTTCCCCGTGACCTTGTTCCCCTGAGCCCATTTGATTTCCTATGGCGGGTGCAAGGAATACCGTGTACACAGCCTGGATGACAGTACCAGCCTTGGATGCGGATCCAGAGTGGGGGTTCACATATGGGCAGGCTAGTGACAGACAGCAGGGTTCGCACAGGCTACCTGGGCCTCTTGTCTATGGGTCAGAGCAATGGCTGGATGCAAAACAAGATGTGTTGCCTGAGAGATGGGATGCAGATGGAGCCAGGCTCAGATGCACATTGCCACAGCTCTGAAAGGGAAGTTCCCTTGCGGCAGAGCGAGGTGATGCCTTGACCGGTGCTGAGGGATGGTGTGGGGGAATCCTGCCCTGACACCTGGGTCTCTTGGTAAAACAGCAGCTAGTTAAGTCTAGGAAGCAGAAGCCTGCACACAAGGCAGACAGGAGGCTGATCCTGAGCTCCACACCTGGTCTGTCCCTCCTCAGCCACTCAGAAACCAGCCTGTGTACAAAGGGTGGTGCTTTCCACTTACCCTGCCATGGCCCTGGGAAGCCATCCAGACACCCTCCCCATTCCCAGCCACCAGGGATGCAGAGACCACAGAGAGAGCACTGGCTATGTACTGGGGCCCTGCATAGGGGATGGACTTCCTCAAGGGAGTGGAAGGGGAGCCTATGGGGAACTCCCAGCTGCTAAGTTGGGGCACAGAACCATAGCTTAGGAGGCATCAACTTATGCCTGGATGGAGCAAGGAACTCTGTCAGGACTGGCGGTCATGTCTAGGAGGAGCCTTAGCAGGTTGCCGAGCAGTGGCACAGTGTAACAACCTGCAGGAGGAGGGGGCCTGGCCGCTTTGGGGACCACGCGATGGGGTGAAGATGGGAGTCCCATTGTGACCAGGGCCAGTGTTGGGTCATGGAAGGATTTGGGGTACCACATTTGCTGAGCTCCCCTGGCCAGGCTCTCCTGGGTCCTGAGGACAGCATGAGTGGGCACTGCATTGTCACTGATGTCATAATACCCAGCATGTCCCTAAAGTCCATCAGAGATAGCGCCATGGCAGGACGCCCAGTGCTCTTCAGCCCAGCCTTGACAGGCAGGCTGGCCATTGTTCCAGTCTCAGCTGGGGACTTCAAGAGGGGACATTGCTTAGGGACTCTGGGGCTCCAAGAGGAGACACTGCTGAGATGGAGCATCGTGTGTAAGAGTTTTTGCTGTCCCTTGTGAAAGAAATTCACACCGAGATCTGAAGCCTTGGCAGTCAGAGTTTTTTAATGAAATGGCACGGAACAGAACAGGACAGAAGGGAACAGGATAGGGTAGAAGAAAGTAGAGTGGAGTTGGAGGTTGGTTCTGTAAAGAACCAGAGTAAATATTCTAGATTGTGTGCCCCCCTCCCCAGGATCATGCCAGGGGCCACCGCATACCATACTCTGCAGAAAATGGCAGAGTGCTTTTGAAGTATTGAAAAGGGTAGTGATGCTTGCTTCTGTGTAGGGCTATGTACACAGGTGTGTGAGCATGCATACAAAGTATGTGTAAAAGCACATGAATATGTAGTATGTGTGCTCATAAGTGAGTCTGTGTGCAGTGTGAATGTTAATATAAAATACTTTTCTTTTTTATTTGTGTGCGTGTATGTGGTGTGCATGCCTATGTTATGTGCATGTTTATATGTATGCATACTCACATGTGTGTGCATGAGTGTGAAGGTCTGAGATTGATGTCAGGTGTCTTGCTCAATGGCTCTCTATTTATTGAAACAGACTCTCTCACTGAACCTGGGGCTTGCGATTCTGGCTAGTCCAGCTAGCTAACCGGCCTGGAAGATCCTCTGCCTCTGCCTCCTGAGTGCTGGGATTACAAGTGAGCCACCACATCTGCCTGGACTTTCATGGGTGCTTGAGACCTGAAC